ATGTTTGAGCCACTCTCATTTGCCCTTCTACGTCCTACCTTGAAAACCTGAACCTTGAATTCTTGAAGACTAGAACCATTGATCATTATCGAGAGTTTTCTCAAGTGACTCCCGTCATTTGGGATGTAATTAACTATAGGGGCTTGCCTCTATAGGGAACTTGGAACCCAGGTAAAATAAACCCTATTTAATCTTTGTATTAAATAGGGGAATTTGTCGGTCATATATAAAAGGTTCGCAGACTAAACGGATGTCACAAATCTCTTAGTTTGCTGGATTGGGTCTATCGCCGAGGTCTACACTTATCTTTCGGGAGGGTGTAGTATTCGCGGTATCAGACACGATTATGCAACTATCGGACGAATGAGATCCATTTGGTCTCATTTTTCAAAAAACTAAAACACACTACTTTCAAAACCCAAACTATATATCTTTTATATTTAAATTAAATCTCAAAAAATTATTTTCATACACCATATTTTTCAAATCTAATCAATCGAAAAAAAAAGTTTGACCGACAGTTACATAAGTAATTAAAAGATTAATTGAGCTTAATTAATGGATGCTTAAGATTATAATTTTATGTATTTAGGCAACTAATTATTGTATGTAAAAATTAAATGTGTTTGAAACTAGCTATACAACTTTGAGGTGAGTACTTATACTTTTAATCTATAGTAATATTTTGTTTCTTCTCAATCATTTTACAGTTAATGATACTTGCAAAAATTTTATTTTTATTGATATATATATTTTTATTTATTGATCATATTTTTATGAATTTTAGATATTTGTAGCTATTTATTATCATGCAATGGTTACTGCTATATATATGATATATTGAATTGAATGCGATGAACAGATGAATGATATATTTATGTTGATTGCTTTTATATGCATGATTGATTATGATGGAGTCACCCTTTGATGATACTAGTGTGGGATCACTAAGGTACCTATACTCATATATGAAAAAAAAATATTGATATTGATTTGTTTAATTGACTTAATGTTTAGACGGTGCTCCTATGACGATTGTACAGATATAAAATAATATTAGTATGCTATTGATATGTTACAATTCATTGAATAGCATATTAAATGTTTAGATTGATTTATTAAAGCTTAACGAACATGCAAATTATTTTTTTATTTTTCCTTGCATTGCTGTAGTTTAAGAGTGAGTATTCGCTAGTTCATTTAGCTCACAAGTATTTTAAACTTATTTTTTTCAAATTTAAATAGTTGATTAAGGGATGAGTGAAAGAAGGGAAAACATTTATAGAAGATGTGGACAAACAATAACGAGGTAAATTTAAATATATTGCTTTAATTAAATTGTTAGTGACTCTTTCAACTGTTAATGAAAAATTATAAAATATGAATATTGAAATTTTTATTCACACCATTTGATTGTTTGTATTCGTCTTAGTTAATTTCAAGCCCCGGGCCCTCGGGTCGTGACGCCATATCTTGTAGTTTTTTTTTGGAGATTGTCTATTTTCCTGCAAACGCTCTTGCAACGTTACCTGTAAGAGTCTTTCGTCTACCAACAAACACTGCAGGAACTACAGTCAAAGACAACTACAATCAACTAGAAGTCATTTTTTTTGCTGGTTGTTTGCTTTCCTACAAACTCCTTTGCAGCATTACCTATTGGAGTTTTTTGTCTACTTAGAGATGCTGCAAGAACTGCATTCAAAGACAACTGCAGTCAACTAGAAGTTAGTTTTTTCTGCAGGTTGTCTATTTCTCTGCAAACTCTCCTGAGACATTATCTGTAGGAGCCTTCCGCCTATCTACTGACACAACAGAAACTACAGTTAAAGGCATCCACAGTATCAGATGAAGACATCAAATTATACTTCACAGGATCTTCCTCACCCATTGTTTGATGTTTTCAAATCCAAGTTGAACACGATTTTCAACTATGTTTCAATGAGAGAGAGAGAGAGCGTAGAAGTTATTTTTGGAAATAATTTATTATTGTTAGAAGTTATGAGAATTGGATTTACTTCCTAATATAATTTTATTCCCTTTTCGATTTTAGATTTATTTTCTTAGATCGTATTTATTTCCTTTTCTATTTTAGTCTTTACTATTTTTTCTTGTTTTTTTTTATTTTTAAATAATTATTATGAATTGATTAATTGAAGATATTAGGTGTTATATATTTTCTTTCCAATTATTTCCTTTTTCCTTTCTTTCCTATTCTAAGATTCTTGTAACGGTTATTTATAATCCCTTTTCATATCAATAAAAGAATTCCACATTATTCTGAATTTCAAAAAATTCCTTGCAAGATTTCAGGGATTTTGCATCAGGCATTAAATCAATTCAAGTTGAGTTTGCAGTGGGTTTCGAGTGCTTTTGAATTTCACTATTATTATTCTTAATTTCAATCTCTATTGGGTGGCCATGTCAGCTTTGCTTGCATGGTTCAGGCCTATTTAGGCTCTTTGAGATTCATGCCTGCTTCAAAATCCCTTTTAATCTTGTGATCCATGGTAGCATTGAGGCTTGTCTCAATCTTGTGAAATTTCAGAACTAAGGCTAAATTTTTTTTATCGATATATAAATCTATCTTAGATATTTAGTATTCTTATTCTAATTTAAGTTATACTTCAATAAATAAATAATAATCTATTTCTGATGTATTTCATACTCTATTTAGCAATTGTAGACACATCATAATCGTTTATTAAATTGTTTGACTTTAGTTTATAATAGTAACAAATTTGGTAGTTTATCAATTCACAGTGGATCCATTATATTTCACAGATTGGTTCAAGTTCCATGGCTCGTAGCGCCATTTTTAATAGAGATTTTACAAAATGGCTGTCTGCTTTCCCCAAAATTTTAAAACAACGTCATATAATAAATGTGACAAAACACAACACAACAATCACAAAATCTTGGTCACTTTTCTCAGTGCCGTGCTCTATTCCAACCATGTGGCAGGTTAAACTTTATTTTCTTTTATTGGTGCAGGAGATAAAAGCATTGCATATTGAGGACATGGATGTAGTCGTTGAACCAGGGATTGGATGGATGGAACTAAATGAGTATTTGAAACCTTACGGCCTATTCTTTCCGCTTGATCCAGGCTAGTATGCGTTCATTTCTTTCGTCCTTTATTTTTGGCAGCTTTTCCCAACGCTCCTAATGAACTGGAAGGTTCAATAACTGTTTTTATTTTTTTTTATTTTGCGCTCATGTTGTTTGTTATTCATGATTTGTGCATAATTCTTGTTTTTTTTTTGTTTATAGAGATCCAATCCATATATTTTGTAATGGGGCACATGGCCAGTTATATTTATTCAAGAAGATTCTCTAAAGAGGATAATGATATGCAAACAAATGAAATTGCATGAGTAATATTTTTTGAAACAGATTCGCTTAGAATTCTTAGGAGCACTGTACAATTTATAATCATTTTGTGACATTTTTTTTGGTGGCGCCCTTGCCGTCAGGTTTCTTAAGCTTTTGTTCGTAAATTTTCCTGTGTAAAGCATGGACATATGGGCTATTCTGAAAATATATTGTTATTAAACAACAGAAAATTTGTCTTGTAGAAACTTCCATCTTTTTATTGCCTGCTAAAATGTGAGATATTGCATGAAGAATGTCTGCCTTGAAAACGAATGTACTTTTTATTTCATTTAGCATTCAAGTCTATTTTGGGAAATGTATTAACTTGCTTTTTCATTATCCTCTTTATTCCTTAAAATATAGGGCCTGGTGCTACCATTGGAGGCATGTGTGCTACTCGTTGTTCTGGTTCGTTAGCTGTAAGGTTGTGTTTTTAGATTTGATTTTTCAATGCAAGTTATTAAAACCACAAATTCTGTTACAAATCTATAACCATGAATGTTATTTTAGTTCAATAATAGGAAAAAGTCGGTTTTATTTGGCTTTGAGGTTTTAATTATCAGTTTATAGGTATGGAACAATGCGAGATAATGTTATTAATCTCCAGGTATTTTTATTATTTTACTTTCCATAAAATTGTGTTTTAAGTTTTCTTTCTTATTTTTAGGTGTTTGTTTCATCTTAGGTAGTTCTGGGAAATGGAGATGTTGTTAAGACAGCTGCTCGTGCTCGAAAAAGTGCTGCTGGGTATGTTGAAGCTCTTTTAATCAGAATAATGAGCATTAATATGGTTGTACTCATCCTATATTGTTGTGGTTCAAATTCCTAAATAGACTCATTTTTCTTGGCAATTCTGCCTTGAGCTTGGCTAATATATCGGATTAATAAAATGTTGTTTAGGAAATGAAATTATTTTGTTCTATCTCCATGTTATTGTTTGCATACTTGGCAAGTTTTAATTGTCACAAATGATGTGCTGAGTAATTGCACTCGTTTTTTGGTTATGAAATACATCTAAGCTGAGAGAAAATTAAGACAGTTTCTTTTTCTTTTGCTTTCTTATAGAAGCACCTTTTTTTGGTCTTGTACCATAAGGCAAATCTCGATTAAAGTAATCTTAGAAAAGGTGCATAAAATCCCATATTGTCTCAATTTTATGTTATTTCTTAAATTGATTTTATAGCATGATAAGAATGCTTATCCGAACTTTGGTTTTTTTGTGTGAAACGCAACTTCTGATTAGTACATACAAGCTTTTCCAGTGTCCGGTGATGCAGTTAATACATTCAAACATACACCCTTCAGGTATGATTTGACTCGACTGATGATTGGAAGTGAAGGAACTTTGGGTGTAATAACAGAAGTGACTTTACGTCTTCAAAGGCTTCCACAACATTCAGTGGTATTTATTCACTATACTTTGATATTTCTTATGATTATTTTCTTTTTTCAGTTCAATATTGCATAGTAACTCTACCAATTATAAAATTGGTTTCACGAGACTAATAGTTTCTTGGGGTTTTTTACAGGCCAAATGCCCAAATATTAACCTTAACGTTTTAACCACCTAAAATATATATATATATAAGATTTTAATAACTTTTTTTCATTACAACCACCCTCCTAAACCCTCTTATGTAGGTTTTGAGTGAAGGTTTTAGGAGGTAAAAATATTATATTTAAAGTTTGGTCGATTAAAATGTTATATTTAATATTTTTGGTGATTGGTATGTAAAAACCCCTAGTTTTTTTCATTATTTATTTATCTATTTATCTTAATTTTAACCGGTCTTTCTTGCCATGTTTATGCCTAAATCTGTACCTATTTATCTTAATTTTAATCGGTCTTTCTTGCCATGTTTATGCCTAAATCTGTACTCTCGCCACTTTTCACATGTCTAATCATGTTTGTCGATGCTTTCAAATGTATTTTTTTCGTCGTGCATCTAACAGTCCACGTGACTCTCTTGGTTGCATTTGCTGGCAACATTTTCTCCATGCCTGCATGACTATTTAGCGATATCCACTGATACACTTCTAGGGATCCTAGAATATATTTAGGAAGTGGGTTTCGTGGGGAGGTAGGGGAATAGTGAGGGGTCAAAAATATGCGAGGTCAACAGAGTTTGGAAGGGGATACTTGTCGTTCGGCAGATGCCCTGGCTGAAAACAACAGTCCAACGACAAATCAGTGAGTTATGGGCAGCGAGGAGGTTCCACCACTTGTTTCTAAGCCAGATAAAGATACACCACTTGCAAAAGAGAGATGTTATAGCAAATTCATAAATTTATTTCTTATATCATAGCAAACTCTAGAGAGAAAAAAATAGAGAAACATTTGTCAAATTCATAAATTCATATCCTAATTACATGATATATGAAAGTCCCCTCTAAACAAATAGGAACTAGTAAGAGAGAATTTACGGGGAGTTGGAGAAATTCAAGCTACGCAAGATGAGCCTGAAGAAGCTAAGCAAAACTCACTCAATTGTAAACATAATTTCTTATCCTACTTTACTTACTATAGTTCACTTTATATAGAAAGAGTATACAGGTAAAATGGTAAAAGCACAAGTCCCTATTGAGGCGTATATTGCTGCCAGTTTGTTACGAAGCATGCCCTAGCACTATTTCCTCTTTCCTTCAGGGCCATTTTCTGATGGTGGAGGTGATCTTGGTCATGAATCGTAAGGTGCTCAAGAGATATGGCCTTGACCCCCTTCAAAGTGATGATTGGATGCTTTGATCGTCAGCTTGTCGGTTAGATTTTGATGCCTAGGGATCAATATGAATTTTATGAGTATGTTTGCTAGCTGATCTTCTATCATGATATGTTGGAGAGTGATCTTTTTTAGCTTGTGGTGGTTCCTGATGAAATGATAGTCCACTTCTATATATTTTGTGCGGGTGCAAAAAATTAAATTGTGAGCTATGAAGATGGATGATGTATTATCGTCGTACGTCATTGTTTGGGGTTTTGATGCTTTTTTCAGTTCGTGTAGTAGCCATCGTAGCTAGAGTACTTCTGTCATGGAGTTTACAAGTTTCGGTATTCGACTTCAATAGAAGATCCAGTTATGGTGTGTTGCTTCTTTGCTCATCAAGAGATCAGATTTGGTCCCAAGTAGATCCAAAAGCCTATTGTGGATGTAATAACTGAAGAAAAGTAAAATAAAATAATAATCAATTCAAAATAACCATCAAACAGTTTCCATAAGTGAAGCAAAGTGGGCTTATATCGGCCTTCTCATTTGTATCCTACAAAGAACGAGCGAGCGAGAGGGAGAGCAGATAAATCAAGAGAAGGCAAAGTTTTATGCGTGCCCTAGTTGATTTGTAGAGGGAAGAAGAAAGAGGAAGAAGGAAAGACCTCACCACTTACATATGTGGGAGGCTTCAACTCTTGCGTAGTTGAAAGAGAAAATCTTTTCTGAGGAAAGAGGAAGAACCACAACTTTGTCGAGAAGCACATCCAACACTATTGTTGAATCCGATACTGTGTTGTATCAATGGTCGTGAAAGGGAGTGGTTCATCGTGTGGGTTTGAAGCCGAGCCACACTGATTTCAGATACATTTAAATAATAAATTTGAGTATTCATATACGATTCATTAATTAAATTAGTACAACCAGAACCTATCTAAAAAAAATTTGGGTTTCGCTAAACTTCCACTCTCCACTTCACACCCTTAACTCTTCCTTTTTTCTTATAATGGAAGTTCACGTTTCTAATCACCGTCCAATTTCGGACTTATAGTTTATATCCAGTTTCAAGTATCTTTCTATTAACTCATTAATTAAAAAAATATACACTCTTATAATTGTGTGTGTGTGTGTATGTGTGTCTATATATATATATATATATATATCTATATTTGAAAGAAACTCAATCTACTGCCTGCCCTAACCTCACACACGAGTTCCCCTTCCTCCTTCATCTGTCTCGATTTGACTCAGAGAAGCACACACAAACACCTCGTCTTCCGTTGCAGCTCAACCCGACATCACAATGATTGATGCTGCCTTCTCCTTCGCATCTGTGGCACCCACACACAAAGCTCCCCTTCGGTCACGGTTTTCTTTGCACACTTAGATGGCACGATTTCCTTCTCTAAGCTCGATAGAGACGTGGCCACCACACACTGACATCGCTTGTCCTCCCCTCCTTCCTCGTCTCTTCTTCAATGGTTTTCTAGGGCACGGTCGAGCACCTGTAAGCACGCACAAAGCTTCTCTTCCTCTTTCCTTTCTTCTTTCACTTTATGACTGCACGCCTGAGCTCCTGTCTCACACTCGATTTAATAGAGTTTTGGCTTCCCTACTGTTCGCTTCCTTTTCTTGACTCCCACTTCTTATCTCTTTGTTCGACTACCTGACTCCTTTCGCATCATTTGCTTCAGCTTTTCGTTTCCTCTCCCCTTGTAATGGAAACGAGATTTCACATTCTTTCCCACTTAAAAAAAATTCGTTCTCGAAATTTATAAACATATCTTAAGTTATTTCTTATTAACAGGTGGACATGAGCTATTTATAAATTTTATAATGAAAATAGGGATCATTAAATTTAAGATGAAAAGGTAATCATTATAAACATAAAGATTTGATATACGGTGACTTAACTATACTTTGGGTTACATTACTGAAGCATGAAAATATGCTAAGAAAACACCACAATCTTCAGGCCTCGTCACCATCCATATCAGTAGGTTCTTCAAACACACTTTGAGTGAGGGAATATACTTGAGGCCTTACAGGTTACCTTTGATTGATCCTGAGTTGGAGCTGAAGCTATAGACTATCTTTTTCTGCCCACCTGCAGTCTTCTGTGACGGAGCTCTACTGGATTTCTGATCTTCAAAGCTTTTCTTGGCAAGAGATGGATAATATCGTGCTTTATGACCAGGGTGACGACACCAATGACAAGTGTTAGAGCTTATCAAACATTCACCTTTCTGTTGTCTTCCACATTTTGCACATGTTGTTCCTGATGCTTGAGTCGCACCTCTACTAACTGCACTCAAATTATTTTTGGACTTCTCATTGAATCCTTCTGAGCAATCTACATATTCTTCTGCATTCTTCCTCTTGTGCATCTTTTTATGCTTATGAGTAAGCTAATAGTCTAGGTGATTTGGATTTGTAAATTTTTATTTTAAGATTTGAACATTTATTTCAAAATTACTAGACTCGTCAACTCCAGTCATTGCGAGGAGGATTGAACTTACAACCCTATTCTATAGACAAAGCGACATGATTAGCCCACGCAGTATTTTCTAATCTAGTATTTAAATATGCAATTTAATGATTGGAGTACATGCAGACATTTAACTTTATATATTTGAATATTTTTTAAGGTTTTATAAGCTTTAAAGACTTGCATAATTTTTAAGCAATGAATTTAATTTGGATTTTACATCAGGTGGCACTTACAAGATTTGAAAATATATGTAATTGATTTGTTTGTATAGACACCTTAAAGCATACATAGTTAGTCATAAGAGTTGACTCATATTTCAAGATATTGCATTTGACATAAGGATATAACCATAAAATTTATATAAATTTTAAGGTCTGAAAGCTTAAAGTATTTACAAAAGTATTATGATTTTAGCCTTTAAAAATGGATTGTCTTTTATTCGCTAGCAGATGTATTGTCAATCCGGTGGTGAGATTTTAAAGTTTCAAAATGTTCAAGTTTGAATTATTTTTTGAAACTTATGAACCTAAATTTTAAAGCTCATAATTTCAAATATTTTTAAGACCCTAGGAGCCTAAATTTAGAACTCAAATTTTTAAATATTTTAAGCTTAAAGCGCTTAAAATTAAAAAGGCCAAAATTGTTAGTATTTTGGAACTTTAAGAGCCTAAATGTTAAAAGCCCAGATTCCAGATATTTTTAAATCTTAAGAGCATATATTTTAAAGCTCGAATTTTCAAATTAATTAAACTTTCAAATGATTCGTATTTTATATTTTCTCATAAGTTCAAATATTCTAAGATTTTAAATTAATTACAAGTTCAAATCACCAAAAATTACAACAGTCTCCTATTATTAACTGCTGTTAGGTGGCACAGAAGAATGCTAACCTTCTCAACTGTCTCAAAGGCTCGTTGTTCGGTGTCCTGAGACACTGCGACTGAGAAGCAAAGTAAAGTTTAATATTGCAAACCAATATTGCTCGAACGGTACTTTATCGGAACTGTACTTAATTCTCACAAACGCGTACTCGTTTTTTCTAACGGGCGGGTATTTTAAATCCTAATTTTTTAAAAAAGTATTTCCTATGATTCTGCGGTTATTCCCGAATGGTACTTAATTCCCACGGACTTTTGCGCTTGCTTGTATGGAAATTTTTGAAAATAACCCTATTGCTTAATGGGGCCTGTCGAGCTCTGACAACTTTGAGGCGACGATCGACGATGATGGTGACAAGAATAAAATAAAAGTAAAACCCATATCCTTTTTTTTATATACAATGTACAATGTAAAGTAATAACACCAAATTAGAAAACCAAAGAGTTGGGTTACTGCCTTGAATCAGGTAGATGGAGTGTGCTGAATTCGGGTCGGGGCAGGCTCGAACAAGTAATAACAAGGGTGTAATGTCCCATTTTTATTAATCGGGGGAGAGAAAATGAGGAAACAGAAGAAAAAGAAGAGGAGTCGACCGGTCAGGAGGCCAATTAGGGAGTGGTGAAGCGAGAAGGAAATCGAAGTTTTCTTTTGCTCCATAAAGGGACACGCTTGAGGGAGGCAGACGTGAGATCCGACTTATTTGGAAGTTGAGCAGCGTGAGAAGAAATGGAGAACTTGTGAGGAAGCAGCGTCGGTGCCAAGCAAAGAAGGCATTGAGTAACTCCCGTTTCATACAAAGGCAGAAAGGACGTCAAGAAGCTCTAGCGATGTTGTCAAGACGAGTCTAGTGTAGAGGAAGATGGAAGCTGGCAATGGTTTAAGCATTTGCTGCAGATGATCGCAGGAAGAGGGGCGCAACTGTTAATAGGGTTTAGGATTAATTAATGAAATCTTAATGAAAGAGTTAATGGAGTAATCATAAAATTTTTTTGATAATAATAAAAATAAAAAACTCAAGTTAAATCAAATTAATAATTATATTCAATCAAGCATAGTGATACACCTGAAATTATATGAGAAGAGAATTTGATCGAAAATGAAAAAGTACAACCTACTATAAATGTGAACGCGAATATCCTAACCCAGATGATGCCGACGATGACTCAGCTTATTTAGAAGTCCAGATCGCAGCCTATCAGAAGTGTTATAGTCATTGTGGATAAGTACCAAAATATATTTCAAGATCCACATCCACCTTTGCTGAAGGGCATTGATGACCCGATTGAAGCGGAGAATTGGATAATGAGGTCAGGGAAGATATTAGATAGCATGGCGTGCCCTGATAGAAGAAGAGTGTCATTAGCTATGTTTGTGTTGGATGGAGAAGATGAAAAGGTGATGGTGTGGCAGCGTGAGGACAAGCTAGTCGACATACTCATTATGATGGTCAGTTGAGAGGAATTTGTGGAGTTATTTAGAGAGTGGCTTGCACCCCTATTCGCTCAAACACAAATGCAAGACATGTTCATCAAGTTGAGGTAAGGAGAGATGAATTTCATGTAAGAAGCAGAATTCATGACACTATCAAGTTTTGCGCCACAGTTGATCTCTACTGCAGAAGAAAAGTAATAAAAAATTTATCTTGGTTTAAAATATTCGATCAGACAGCCGTTGGTGCGTTTTATTGAACAGGGAAGGCAACGAGTGTTGTGCAGCTTGGAAGGCTCAATTGGGGTAACGACTCAGTTTACAATAGGATGGAGCGCACAAAAGAGAAGCGACTCGAGAGTGGGGATTGGATCGTGTGAACAAGGAAGAGTGGCAAGGGCACATGAAGATTGTGTTGGTGCGGCTTAGACATAAGGATTCTTGAGTTACACGCGACGACAGAGAGGTATCACAAGCTTCAAGTTAGGAGTCGAGCGGTGTGACTTTAACGTTGTGGACGAAAACAGGGAGTTATGGTGGTCTCTGTACTAAGCCATCTAGCCACCGGCTTCCCGCTACATTTAATCATGATTGTAGCGTGGGGCAGATGTTGCAGAAAAAAATAAAGACAGAAATTTCGAAGCTTTTTGTATGTCGTGATTTCGTCGTTCCTTCCCCATGAGATCTCGCCATTTGTCTACAAAAAATGGTAGGTTTATTGAACAGGGAAGTTTTGTTGTCGATTTTGAACAAAGAGGAGAAAGGTTGCGCTGTCTCGTGCTATTTTGAAATCAGCCTTAGTATCAATTTTTTTTTTACTCATGAAGAGGGGTAACAGTTATTAGAATGAACACCTTTTAACTAGCGGGAGCAGTTGATGTCTTGGAATTAATTAATTAATTAATTAATTTCTCTTATTCTATTTTCTTTTCTTACTGGTCAAAAGTAAGATTCATTAAATAACATCATTTTCTTAAAATATCAAATAATTATATAATTTATTGGTAGCTTAACAAACGTGCTTATTGCTTTCTTTTCTCTTTTGTTACAGTAGCTTGGAAGTGTGAGCATTCACTAATTTTGATTAGCTTACTGTTGTTTTAAACTAATTTTTTAGATATAATTAATTTAGAAGATTAGCGATAAAAGAGAAAATATTTATAGAGGATGCAGACAACCTGTAACCAGTTAAATTTAATTCTGCTGCTTTAATTTAATTTTATTTGTGACTCTTTTAGTTGTTAATAGTTATAGGAAAATTAATATGGAAAAAAATTAATTCCCTTTGATGGTTTGTACCTATCTTTGTTAAGTTCAAGCCCCGGTTGGGTCATGACACCAAATGCTCTTGGTAGCAGAACAACATCTGTTAGACCAATTTTGGTGACGACATAGGATGATAAGACACGGACGCCAGCTCTAAACATGGGACAGACATGACAGAGAGCACCACAAGGGCTACCACCATTCGGGGAGGTTCAGGCTATCCGAACTCAAGCTGAGCCTTACATGGATTACATTGAAAGTATTCAGTAGCATAGGCGAGACACGCAGAGTCGGTTCACTTCAGCAGGGGATCCATAGGAGAGCGGACGATAGGGTTGTATGCTTGTAATTGGAGGAAAATTCTCAGTTGTTTTGCGAGGTAGTATATTCGACATTGAGATCCAGTGCTGCTAGGATTGAAAATGAAGAATGAGATGCTTTGATGAATGAAGTCGAAGCTCCCCTTACCCTTGAAGACTAGCGCGGGGGCTTTTGGGCTGAACCAGTTGGTTCAACAAGGGCACCAGTTCAGCGGGGAGGCTAGACCGGCCAGCTGAGGCTAATGGGCTGGTTTTGCCGTCTTTCCCCCCTCCCCCTATTTCGCCTATTATAAATATATGTTACTGCTGTTTAGGGTTCCGTTTTTGCTATATTCAGTTTTTAGATTTCGCATCGGGGCGTTTCTTTTTTTCTAGGAATCTATTCGATGGCGAGGTGTTTTGGTTGTAACTCGTCCGAGATGGTGTGTATCTTTCCTTTTCTTGCTTGTTGCCGCTTCCCCTTTGGTAGCTCCCATCCGTTCCTGTGCTCCCCCTTGCTGCCATCCACCCTCTTGCTGCTGCCAACCTCTCCTGTACCCACTGCAGCTGCTGCCAGCCCCTCTCAGCACCCCCACCTGCTGTCCCCACCCCTTCTACATCCACTGCAGCTGCCGCCAGCCCTCTTGGCAACCCTACCTGCTGTCCCAGCCCCCGTCTGCAACTACTGTGCTGCTGACAGCCTTCCAGCAACCCCTCTGCCACCCCCAATCCTTCTGTTTCCTTAACGAGCAGCCACCCTTTCCCCTTCCAGCACCACCTTCACTGCTGTCACCTCCCGATCTTGCCGTCTTTGCCCTTGTGGGCCGTTTGTGTTGTATTGTTTTATTTTTGTTTTCGAGAGTTTCGTTGTAATCTCCTTTTGCAATTCAGCAGTAGTATTTGTCTTTTTGTTGCATTTTGGGTTAACTCGGGTATCAATTATGCTATCATTGAGCTGATTGACACTCTATCAAGTTGTGGTTGCATAGAGTTTACCCGCGTGGACTTGCTGATCTTCTAGGCTAAGGGACATCAGGAAATGATGCTGTATGTTTCAAGATCTCCTGTAACTACCAACAGAGATCATCATATTTCTGTACTTGATTGATATGTGCGGGCATGTGTTTGTATGTGGTGGCACGGATAATTTTGTATGCATTCTTTTCTTGAACTCGGTATCTGTATCTATTATATAGAATGTTATTTCTGTCTTCTATAATTCTATGCGGGAAATATCTATGCATCTGTTTCTTGGACTTTTTTTTAATTACAGAATTTTTATGCATTTGAAAATGGTAATGTTATCTTGTTTGAACAATTTTTTAACTCTTGTTAGTCAAAATGTGTATATACTGTACATTTGCTTAGATCTGGTTCCAGGCTGTAAATAAAAAATTTTTGTTGTTTGCTCACCTTTTTTCAGTTTTAGACAAGTTGCTTTAGCTTTTATGTCAGTCAACATTTCGCTCTATGATGATTTCAATCTCTTTATTTTGAGCCCTCATTATGACTGTATTCTAGTGATCATCAGGTTGCTATGTGTAACTTTCCAACTGTTAAAGACGCTGCTGATGTATCTATTGCGACAATGCTATCAGGAATACAGGTAAATCAATGAAATTAAATTTCAATCCCATCAGCTACTTATATCATTGGTTCCTACTGTATTGCATTTTTTATTTTAGACATTTATTTTTCATTAACAAGAATTCAGAGCAACAAAAAATTAGCAAGCAATTGTAATTTAATTTTCATATATTGAATTTACATTGTGTCAAATTTGAATAAAATCACTTACACCATCAAATCATGTGAATGAATTAAAATCACTTACACTATCAAATCACGTGAATGAAATAAAAATAAGGAATGGAAGCACCAACATTAAAAAAAAAACATGCATCATGCCAATAGTACAAGTAGACGACTTCCTCCAAAATCAGATAACAGCACTTGCATTACACTCAAAGGAGCCACATATCTAATTTTTATTCACAAAATTGAAACCAGAAAAAGATAGCTTATTCAAGCCACAGTTGGTCGATTACATGCGGCCTGCATTCATTTATGAACTGTGTAACCCCTAGGCTAGTAGATCTAGTCGAAACATGATTCAGTTTATTCCATGTTGAAATTGACATTCTAGGTGATGATAATCAATACAAATTTTAAATTGCATATTAAAACTCAACACATCGGCCTTTATACACCAATTTTAAATATTCAAAACCCAATAAAAAAATGTTAAATCCTGCAATTTGTAGGAATCTACAGGCTAATAAGATGTACATGAGGGTATAGAAGGCTTGAAAATTTGCAGTAACGAAACCAATAGATTTCTGAAGAACCATAACTTATTAAACTTATTAACTAGTCTAAAACATAAGCATTAGAACAAATTTACCTATTATTTTTGAAAGGAGCATATGGCCTTCCATGTAGTTTTCATATCTGGTTTGTAGCATTTCGGACGGACAAATAATGGCATAATTTTTTTTTATTGTACTCTTGTGAACTTCCCTTATTTATAACATTATAATATTTATTATATTCAATATATTATTTATTTTTTAATTTTATCTTGCAAATTATGTATATATTGTGCAAAAGTTATAGCAGATTAGAATATAGATGCTTATGTGATTATGAAGATTTATTGGCATTTTTAGAGTTAGTTCCTAAACAAATTTAAATGGCGACTAGTAGATTTTCATGTAATGCTGTCGTATGCACATTCAATAGTAGGAATATGCATTTCTTAATTGCTCGAAATTTTTCACACCAAACTTTTTAATAGCTTTCTAAACTTTTATTTACTTACTATTCTTAGTTTGACTGTTAATATGGTTGAAAGCTGGATGAAAACTTACGAGTATTGCTTCAAATATTCAATAATTTTTTTTTTTAAAAGGAAAAATAATTTAATGTTTATAAGATAGCTTGATAGTGAAGTTCTTTGTGAATTATCTATTGAATGTAGTTAATTTTTGGAAAATCTGAATGTTAGAGACGTAAGAAAAGTTTGCTTATTTAAGAATTCCGTCGATTTTGAGGGAACATCTTCTAGATGTGTTGTAAATTAAGCAAATAAATGACTTTTGACTCCTAAGCAGGTGTTTTTTAAGATTAATATAAGCTTCTCATCCCTAGCTTAGACCATACATGGTGGAAGTCATCAAGATGCTTACTCTTGTTCGAGGTGCAAAACAATGTCATTAAAGTACGCCACCAAGAAATTTCTATTGAATAACCAAAAAATTAGGCCTATCAGTCACATGAAAGTACTCAGTGTACCAAACAGTCTAAGGAATAATAGAGCATTCATACTTCCCATTAGATGACTTAAATGTTAATTCTATTTTTCCTCAGCGATGACGCAGAATTTATGGACACCCCTTTTCACTCAACATGACAAAAGAATAGCTAAAATGAAAGCGCCTATCTCATTATACTATTATTGATGAGAGCTAGTAAGTTTAGAGCTTATTTGATTTGATGAAATCAAGTATAGATCTAAGAGGTTTTTCCATTTGACAGATTGATCAAAGCAAAGGTGGAAGATCTTTATGCAACAAATAATCCACGTGTTTACATAGAAGAACTATCAAAATATGTGAGTGCCAAGTTTTGAAAACTAGGAGAGAAGATGTCCACATCTATAAGTATTAACCAGTTAAGTTGGAGAAGCATAAGTTACTCATAACTCTAGTCCTGGTCTTAAGCGGGTCATAATGATCGACTTAACAGACCCACATATAGCCAGTATGCTGTAACTCTTTGATAATGAGGAAAAGATTGTATTCAGTATGCAGTGGGTTAGAGACTATGCATGGTTGTAAGTGATTGCAAGAGTGGTGGCAGATGTGCCTTGAGTTGAAGATCTTGTAAATATGCACTGGTTGGGGATCATTTATGGGTTGCAACCCTGCTCCTAATAGGAAAATTTCGTGATCTCTAACTGTGAGTAGTAGAAGTATGTCAAATGATAAATAATTTCCTTGAAAATTGATTGATCTGTGAAGAATCATTGCTGAATTGATGGGACCATCAAAGGGACTTACGCCATGTGGAAAGATTTGAGGTCAAAAGAGGTATTTGATTCCTATGGGGGACGAAGGTTTCTACAATAAGGGAAGTGTTCATCTACCAAAGAAGAGTTTTAGTGTTTTAGAGAGATATTATTTTTTTTTCTCTTGACTAAGACACCTTTTTCAAGGATGTGCGCACCTAAAATTGATTATCAATTTCCCTTTTTTTTGGATACTATATCTTTTTGGGTTTCAAAATGATAAACTTCACCATCAATTTGTTCCAGAACATTGTGTTTGAGTTTCAATTACTGACCATCCTCATTTACTTTAGTCATTAGTACTTGGATTTGTGAGTGGATGAACCTTTTTTGCATTACAGCTTTGTAGCAGACTAAGGTGTGGTAGCATTGATGTGTATGCTGGCAAAAATAGCTTGCAAATGTATTGAACGCTTTGAGAAGTGGGTTATTCAGAGGTTGATTGTATGAATTGTGATATTCTATTGGATCACATCTGGCTAGGTTTTCATGAATCAGATCAACACTAATATGTTTGAGTGCAGCATTGTTTATTTATAGTTCAAAATGCATTATTGTCAATACCTTTGGATTTTTTGAACATTTTATGACTACCAAAAGGTTTTGAAGAACAATTATGCTGGATCAACCTTCATCATGTTGCTTATTAGCTAGACATAGATGCTAAATGAAGTTATTGTTTCCCCCTTCATTCTTTTGGTTATTCTTCCATTGTATTCCAGCGTAATTCGAGTTATTATTATGTGTGTCTCACTAGATAGGGGATGATATCGAAATTAACCCAAATCACAATAGAAAAAACAAATATTATTATTGAAAGCAAATAGGTAGTTATAGTCAGCCACACTTAAAAGGGAAAATTACAACAAATACGATACAAACTCACACTAGGGTTTGATCCATGGTTGGTGGAGGTCGGCTAGTGGTCAGGGAGGGAAGGTAGGTTGCTGAAATGGGTTGTGGATGGTTGGGATAGCAAAAGAAGGGTTTGGAAGGATGGTGGTAGCAAAGAGGAGGGGTCGGACAGTAGCGAATCGACTAGAAAGAATAGTTCTGGGTTGTGGCAACAAGGGAGGAAGTCGACAGCAAAGGAGAGGAGTTGAGATCAGTGCAGCAAGCTGGAATGAGAAAACAGTTGGCCGGGTAGCTGAAAAAGCAGAAAACAGCCAGAAACGACTGTTTCTGCGCAGCGACATTGAGCGTGAATGACAACAGTAGCGGCGAGGAAGGCGTGAGATTGTGGAACATCCAAAGGAGGACTTGTCCTGGGGCTGCGACAGCGAGGAGAATGGCTGGACGATGAGGAACTGAAGAATAGCAAAAGGACTTCTGTTGGGGCGGCTGTATTGAGGAAGGTATGATAGCGACGATGAAGGCGTGGGACTATGGGACAACCAAAGGAGGATTTTCTTGGGACTGTGATAGCAAGGATGGATGGATGGCGAGGAACTGCAGGAAGAATAGCAAAAGTATTGTTGTCGAAGATGCTCCATTAAGGAGGAAGGTGTGGTAGCAAAGTGAGAGGGGATGCAGGAAGGGTTACGGATGATAATCACCACATGGAGATTAAGATACAGCTGAAGCACCTCCTGAAACACTTGGATATAGTCATCAAAAGAAAGAAGAGACGCCGACGACTGTTTCGTTACAAAATATACTAAAAACTAACCCTTAAATAACAAAAATACAAAATTACAAATATGTAATAAGAGGATACTTAGGAGTGGCCCCCACTCCAAATGGAGGCAAATCCAAGGAAAAAAGAGTCTTCCGGCTCTCAAGAATTCCGAGTCGAAAAAGCCTAGAGTCGGCTCCCTCTCGCTGCAATGGGCAGACTTGCACCCACCTCAGAGGATGTTTAGTTGAAGGTATTTGGAGTATATTGATCTTCAACAAGGCATTTATTTTTTTGAGTGTTTGATTGAGAGAAATAATTCCAAAGCATTCTCTAAATGGTTTTGTATCCAAATCAATCCAATTTTTATGAATATTAAATTCACTTAATTTGTGCAAATTCTAAATATATCACACCTTATGCTCTCGCTGCACTTATAAAATTGCCTTGCCTTGCCTCGTGACTTCTTGTGATCATAATAAGCCTTACAGGACAACAACACATTATAACATTACTTCTGAGATCTGAGCTTACATTCAAAGAAAACATTTAAGAATTTAAGCGATCATATTAAGTTAAATTAATTTCAAGGTTTCTATTTTATAGGCATATGCATATGATATGACTGTTGAGAGGGGACGTGTTTACTTGTAATTTGTTTATTTAGTTCTAAGTTGGCTTATATAAGTTTTTCTTGAGCTCAAGGTAGTTTTGTAATAATGGAGTTTTAATAATAATAAAAAAATATTAAATAAATAGAATAATAATATATGAAATAAGGAGTTGAGGCGAACTAACCGTCGAGACGGTTCATTTAAGTGAAGTGGAGGGGGACTTTCGTTCGTAGTCTATAGAGAACGAGCGAGTGAGAAGTAGAGCGAGAAGGAGATAAAGAGAGAGCGTGGAGTCGTGCCCTAGCCGG